TATAGCTTATGTGTTATTCTGATGTATAACTATATAACTGTAAAGTGTAATTAAATTCATTTAGTAGTTTTTGCGTAAAAGAGTAACAATCATCCATACATCCTCACAAACTTTCGCGTTTATAATATTAGTAGGATTTTACTCAATATCTTTATGAATTATAGCTTATGTGTTTTTCTGATGTATGAGCTATATAATTGTAAATTTTAATAAAATTAATTAATTAGTTTTTGCGTGAAAGAGTAACAAACATCCATACATCCTCACAAACTTTCACGTTTATAATATTAGCAGGATTTTACTCAATATCTTTATGAATTATAGCTTATGTGTTTTTCTGATGTATAAGCTATATAATTGTAAGTTTTAATAAAATTAATTAATTAGTTTTTGCGTGAAAGGGTAACAAACATCCATACATCCTCACAAACTTTCACGTTTATAATATTAGCAGGATTTTACTCAATATCTTTATGAATTATAGCTTATGTGTTTTTCTGATGTATAAGCTATATAATTGTAAATTTTAATAAAATTAATTAATTAGTTTTTGCGTGAAAGAGTAACAAACATCCATACATCCTCACAAACTTTCACGTTTATAATATTAGCAGGATTTTACTCAATATCTTTATGAATTATAGCTTATGTGTTTTTCTGATGTATAAGCTATATAATTGTAAATTTTAATAAAATTAATTAATTAGTTTTTGCGTGAAAGAGTAACAAACATCCATACATCCTCACAAACTTTCACGTTTATAATATTAGTAGGATTTTACTCAATATCTTTATGAATTATAGCTTATGTGTTATTCTGATGTATAACTATATAACTGTAAAGTGTAATTAAATTCATTTAGTAGTTTTTGCGTAAAAGAGTAACAATCATCCATACATCCTCACAAACTTTCACGTTTATAATATTAGTAGGATTTTACTCAATATCTTTATGAATTATAGCTTATGTGTTTTTCTGATGTATAAGCTATATAATTGTAAGTTTTAATAAAATTAATTAATTAGTTTTTGCGTGAAAGGGTAACAAACATCCATACATCCTCACAAACTTTCACGTTTATAATATTAGCAGGATTTTACTCAATATCTTTATGAATTATAGCTTATGTGTTTTTCTGATGTATAAGCTATATAATTGTAAATTTTAATAAAATTAATTAATTAGTTTTTGCGTGAAAGAGTAACAAACATCCATACATCCTCACAAACTTTCACGTTTATAATATTAGCAGGATTTTACTCAATATCTTTATGAATCATAGCTTATGTGTTTTTCTGATGTATAAGCTATATAATTGTAAATTTTAATAAAATTAATTAATTAGTTTTTGCGTGAAAGAGTAACAAACATCCATACATCCTCACAAACTTTCACGTTTATAATATTAGTAGGATTTTACTCAATATCTTTATGAATTATAGCTTATGTGTTTTTCTGATGTATAAGCTATATAATTGTAAGTTTTAATAAAATTAATTAATTAGTTTTTGCGTGAAAGGGTAACAAACATCCATACATCCTCACAAACTTTCACGTTTATAATATTAGTTGGATTTATTTTTGTTTTTAGGGTAACAACCAGCTTATATTAATTACAACAAACAACAAAGTCTTTTTATGATTGGGGAACAGATTCTCCTCTGCCGCCACCATTTGGCAATTAAATATTCAATCTTGAAACTTGAAATATATAATTAAGGGTTGTCAAACTCTTTGATACATTAATAGTCTTCAATATTAAAACTTTGCCTATATTGTTTATAATTTAATTTATTCAAAAGTAAGCCTAATTAAAAGTTTATTTTTTGCTCATTGCATAGAGTAGGATAAAGATCGTGAATTCATTTTATAAGTTTCAAGTTGATGTTTGCTACGTTTTAGTGTGCATTCTACTCAAAATGTACTACAGTACGCTTCATTACCCGACTAAAACTGTTACCGTACGTAACCACAGCCCTAACCAACCCCTAATGACTACGACGCTAACTCTTTGTCAGGCGCTCGTCGCTTTTAAACGGTGCAATACTTTTTACGAGCAGTTTGTATCTCACTACGTTTGAACATTCGAATGCACAATGTTACTGCAAGTCTGCAGGTTATAACGAACATTAGTATGCGTCGCAAAGTTGTGTAGGGAGACGCGTTGCATCAATAACATACGCGCACGTAAGGTTACCAAACGTCAGGTGCGTCCCGACATACTGGATTTATGCAACAAATTTTTAAGGAACATTTTCTGTTGTTTCAAAAAAGTAAAATGTAGCCTATAACCACAATAACTGTCTACCTTTATCACTTTTATACATTCATGTGAATGCAATGAAGCAGAGAAATCGAGCCCGCCATGTCGCTCCTGAGTGGGTTGGGAGATTTCACATGTTAATTTTTTTTAATTTCATAAACATGCTAGTTTTCTAGTGGCCGTAATGAATGTAATGAATCAGCACTTAATTACAAATAACAGTTTTAAAGCTGCCAGAACGATAGATTCTCTATTAATATAAAATAATATATGCGACAAAACAAGGGACAATCAGAATTTAAATTTACTTAATTACCATCTAAAACAAATATTAATTGTTCTTTTTTGATTGTGAGATAAAAATAAAATATTATTAGGTATATTATGTGAAGCAGTTCTTTTTGCTTGCTTAGAAAAATAAGTTGTTTTGACACATTAGTGTTATGCATTTATATGTTAACATATATATTTACATAATATTACTGACTGTACTCAACTATTATTACAACGGAAACTGTCAGGACTTTTTAATACGTCACATCATGGAAACCCTATACGCAGATGAGTAATGCACAACAAAATAAAAATATATAGTTGAGAACGGTCAGAATACATAACCTAATGCAGAAACTATGTTATAAGACAGTAGAAACATTCATTGTTACAATAATACAAAGATATCGAAAAAGTAAATACAGCATGATGACGTACATATATGAACAATGTTCCGGCTGCAAATAAGCTATCTGTATAATAATATATTATATTTTATAAAGTAGAAAAATAAATATATTTAGTCATGTCGTGTAATAGCGGCGTTATCAATCACCGCATAACATTTTTCTGCCGACTTCCAAAAAGGAGACGGTACTCAATTCGACTGTATGTTTTTTTATGTGTGTTACCTCATAACTTTTTACTGGGTGAACCGATTTCGATGATTCTTTTTTTATTTGAAAGCTGATACTTCTCGTGTGGTCCCATATGAATTTGATCAAGGTCAGACCAATAGTTTTTGAGATATTCTTAATAACTTATAATGAAGTCGGCTGTACAAAATTTTTAATTTTAAATTATTTTAACTTTAGTGACAAACGAACTTACATTTCACCTGGTGGTAAGTGGTCAGTACAGTCCATAGACACCTGCAGCACTTTATACAAAGAAGGCTATAGATGAGGTCAGCTCTGAGGAATAAGATGGAATACCTCACGCCCTGCATTTACTCTCTATAACCTTCAGCCCAGAAACCATCAATGTGAGCACCGCTATTTGCCATCACAAATGGAAAAGAGGATGGTACCTACCCAGACAAACTATTAGGTAGAAAAGAAGTAACTAGGATTCCCCCATCCCGTGGGTGTTGTAAGAATTGGGTGACATAGCCGCTTCGTTTAGCTATTTGTACTTTAGACTGGTCAGACGTAAAATACTCGTCCGGAGACGGGGCACCTCCCCGTCTCCGGACGAGTATTTTATGCAGTATCAGAACTGCGACTGCCAATCCTTCTGCCAAGCGCGGCATTACCTACCCTCCCTACAACGAGAGAGGTACATGGTGTTCAACATTGGACGTAGAGGCAACTTATTAAATTATCTAATCTAACTCATAATATCTTTATACAAATAGAACTTATTATTTATCATCATTCATCATTATCATTAACTGCTTCTTAAGATATAAGTATACGAATATAATTTCTGCAGATATTTTTTCTAATTACGTAGGAAATGCACGTTTTATATTAATTATAATACCTCATTATATTTAATCAATACTTCTTGAGAAATTATTGAAAATTTTAATCGGGCTCTTGGTTTAATTTGACAGTTCAGTTTCACACTGGTTAGGCATATGATTGCACCGCTCCGGTGCGGGTTTGAATCCCGCGCATCACAAGTTTTTCTATGATTGTCACAAAAAAACAAAGAAATATTTATTCTGCCTGCATGTTAATGTAGTGTCTGCGTGTCTGAATACATAATTTAAAATAATATTTTAAAACCATAATATTATTCAGATTTTATAAATATAACTAGTAAGTATAGTTCGTCCCTTTTTATCCGTAAGCGGATAAAAAGGGACGAATAAAAAAGGGGTCATGTTTTATATGTTATACAGTATACACGGTCATTTAATACACAATTTTTCTACAGATTTATTATCTATAGCTATTCCCCGCGACTTCGCCCGCGTGTTATTTGGGGTTTTAATTTTTTTGCGCGGAACCCTAATTCTTTTCTAAAATAAAAAGAAGTTACTCCTTGTGACATCAGCTATCTGCCAATGAAAATCCCGTCAAAATCGGTCCAGCCGTTTCCGAAACGGCTGGAATTAGCCGGAACAAACAGACAGACAGACGGACAGACAGACAGACAGACAAAAACTTTAAAAATTGAATTTTTATTATTAGTACCGTATATGATATATGATTTCATCTGCATGTAATAAAAAGCTGTAATTATGACATTACAAACAGACACTTCAATTTTATTTATTTGTATAGATAAAAACTATGAACATTGAAAAATATTATGTAGGTACTAGTACTTATAAATAAGTATTCTAAAATAAATACTCACTCGTTAAAGTTGTTTGATTTTTGAGTTTTTATTCTTTAGCCAGTTTGAGCTGCGCGAGCGCACATTGTTTGTATCTCGCGGCAGCGGGGATCCGACTCCGACACGATCGGGGACGAGCGCACGAGGGCCAATCAGAAAATATTTAGCTTAGCCAGTTGTCTTTTATCGGTCGGTTGGAGTGTACGTGACGGTTGTCGTTATGTGACGGATCGCGAGCTTCCGACAAATTACAAAAAAAAAAATTGTTGATATTAAACTAGTACTATCTCAGTGTTAATAATGTGGCCGTTCCATCAGACATTTTTATTTTAATGGATTATTTTTGGATACAAACTATTATTTTTCTCATAGTGTTTATTGCCGGATTGTTTACTATGGTCATCGTAAGTGTTTTCAACAGGTCAGTAGAGGTACCCTACTTTTATCGATCACCTTTTCTATGCATGTATAATTTGTGTGTATTTATTTATTTGTTTAGTAATTAACTAGTGCGTTGATTGTGCATTTGAATACATTTACATTTTCGCCTTAAATGGTTCCCGCATATGCTAAATAAATTACGGACGTTACATTTCACGTTACGTTTCATCAGTTCGGCAATTTTAAAGAACGTGGTATTTATGTATTATGCATGAACCCACAGAACATAGGAACTACTTTCCGTTGTTCTATACATTAAAGCTTAGAAATATTAGTTGCCAGGTAAAATGACGATATGGGTTATGTACTGCACTGTACCTATATTTGCGGTGCATAATTTACATTCAGTTGCCGAGATATAGAATGGTATATTTGATTTACTTATCGAGTACTGACCGTTCTGCATGTTGTATGCACTTTTCTGTCGGGAACTTGCATTGACGATGATTAGTTATCACTGTGTATCTAGTTCTCGGAATATTATTATTTATTATAAACTCCTATTCATTATTTATTATTGAGATTGAACTGACTTAATAGTTTCAAGCAATAGGTATTTTTCTTCCAGTAGTTAACAGTAACAGCTATATTAAATAGGTACGTTTATTTTAAGAATAATTTGTATTTCTCTTTTTATATTAGCTCTCACAGAATACCAGCGTCAAATAGCAGCTAGCTGTGTTTCGTATGGTGAGTGTAGGGAACCAGAGACCTCTTTTACTGAAAACGAGGCATTTCATCTCCGTCCTCACGGTCACGGGTGAAACGCATCTGCATTTTGATTCATAGTCGAGGATAGATGTAAATGTCTATGGGCCACAGCAACCACTTACCATCAGGTGGACTGTGTGCTCGTTTGTTATACTAATCCTATTAAAAAAAATGATATAAAGTAAAATTATTTTCTCCATTTTTATTCTAAACGATTTGAACGTACGTTTTAACCCTGTCAACGGGTATGATCACTACTAAGCCTGTTAACAGTAAGTTTGCACTAAATTTGAATTTCTAATATATTATCTTTAGATTGATGATATACTGAAGATGGCTCAAATTATGAGTGCCCTTAATCAACGAGCATGTACCTACCTATGCAATATGCATAAGTATAAGGATGTGAAAAAGGCGAGAGTGGTGTGTCAGGATCGTGACAAATGGAAGTTCGTAGTCTCTTGATCTGGCTTCTCTCTGTGTGCCAATAGTTTATTTATGTTGTTTTTTTTGAACACATCTTTTATTTCCGGATCCAAAAACCAGCAAATTGTGTTTTTCTAAAAATATTTTCACCAGCTGAGATTCAAGTTTGAGGCCGTTGTTACAGAATGTAGTTAATTTACAACGTATAACGGTGACCAATAGCCTAGCCTACTTTATAGTATAGAGTAGATATAATATAGGTATGTAGTATTGACTTATGTAACAGTAATGTGCAAAGGGAATATAAGTTACTGGTAGGTTTAAAGTTCGATTCAAAGTGATGCTATCAAACTTCTAACAGATTAAGGCTGGCCATATGAAAAATTTTGTTCGCAAAATTTCGAACGTAAAACTACCGTATGTGTGTGATAGGTCCTTGATTTTATATGGATTTGTTCCTTAGGTATGCTTGAATTCCGATACGGAATTTCAAATGTATGTGGCCGGCCTAACCAATGATTATTGAATAAGAATCATTAGCAATTTAGTGTAATTTAAATACGGTAAGTTGGCAACACTACCCTCTAACGAGGGTTACGAGTTCTGTGTAGACCACATCTTAATGTTTAATAACATCTGTCAACGAATGCTTCTCCATAACGTACCCCACACGGCTTGGAACACTCGTCGACAGATGTCATTAACATGTCATTACTATTTATATTGGAGAAGAAAAATAATGAAGCTTGATTATGTTTGGGATAACAATGCCTACCATTGGTATTGTGTCTTAAATATAAACAAAAATGTTTATGTATAAGGCAATAGCAAACAACATGAAGGATAATGATGTCGATTTCGCATTTTACACACGTGTATTTTGTAATAAAACCCATCCAAATATGTCGAACACGTGCATATTGGTGTGATTATTAGAATGAGCGTTACGAGGGCGAGGATACTGACACAAAATAAAGAGAGTAATTAAGGCTCAGAGCTTTCTAAAAAGTCTGTCCAACCAGTTGAAATTTTTCAAGAAACTCATACCAGTACGCGATTTTTGGAATGGCCTATCTAACTTTGTTTAAAAATATTGGTAATTAGTTAAAATCATAGAATTATTACGCATTTGCGTAATAATTCTATGGTTAAAATAAAAATAACGTCACAACTGCTAAACGTGTTACCGTAACTGTTATAGCCTTTTAAAGTCCACTGCTGCACGTAGGCCTCCCCCATAGATTACCTCAAAGGAGGGATATTTGCCATAGTTGTTAAGCTTGGCAAGCGGATTGGCAACCGCAGTTTTTAATTTTTAGACGTTATTAGGAAGACGCTGCTGCCCATCTCCTGATTTGTTTCCACCCACGAGAATACTTGAAACAGGAGGTGGGCAGCAGCATGTTTCCTGATAACAACTCAAAATTATTAGAGCTGCGGTTGCCAACCTGCCTGCCAAGCGTGGCAGGTATGGTAAAATCCCTCTTATAGGCCAATTTATTGGGCAGGCCTATGTCCAGCAGTGGACTTTATAGCCATTAATGGATGGAATTACTTAAAACCAAGCAAATGGTAACCTAAAAAGTTATGGGCCTTATGTTTATGTACCTACGTTCCGAAAAAGACACAAATGTTATAAGTTTAATTATGTGTTAATGTAATAAATTAATCTAACGTCATACAGCGTAGGTTCATTTAATTATTATTTACAATTAATGATGTTTTCGTTAATTACATATTAACTTATTATTAACTTAAAAATTACTTCATTATTTTATAAACTGAGATAGTTGTAATTAACTTATGAGGATGTAAAAGCGATATGGCCGCTAACAGTGTTTTACTTCTTACACTAGTCATTTTCGTTATAATGATTACTCCCCTTTACCCAACCAATAGCTACCTATTTCTACTCTCGACACATGGACAATATTTCTACGATGCGTATCCAACGCTTGCTTCCACGCAGACTCGACGCACCGTCGACACATCACATACGCGTATTGCACCGTTCGTTTATTCAGCATAATACTTTTTTTATTCCATTTTTTGCGCGTTTGCTTTCCTCGTAGGGGGCAATTCAGAAACGAATAAACCACAAATCAATTTAACAAGTAGATATGATTTTTTTCCCTTTACAATATGGTTGTAAATCGATTGGTGTTAGTCATGGATATTTTGATGCGTTTCCGATTACGTACACGAAATGGAAACTGACTGATCTTTGAATATGTATGTGCATGCATAACGACGTCCGACTGCATACTTCCATAAAGGTTCGTTCACACTGCTAAATGATGAGGGCAGACGCTCTTTGTATTGAACACTGCCGTTGTGTTGTGTGATGTTTACGTAATATTAGTTACTACCCTACAATAACAAAAATATATACCTACATATTACAAAATTTTATGGCTCCAGTACACGTTGGCCGAGCGCGCTTGGCGAGCGCACTCGGCAGATTTTCGTGGTGCCGTTCACACGTTGGCGTGTTTCATTCTGCGTTGGTAGCTAGATGATGATGGACGTTAGGGCAATCGCGGCCGCTGTCATATATTTATACAGCGCTTCACTCTTCTCAGAGTGAACGAAAAAAAACTACACATACAACAATAATCCCAGTTTGTCCTTTTTAGGGTTCCGACCTCAAAAGGAAAAAAAACCTTTATAGGATCTACTAGCTGACCCGTGCCCGCTTCGCTGGGGGTTTTTTCAAAATAAAAGATAGCCCAAAAGAAGCCCCTAAGCTACATTATCCCTGAACAACATAAACGCAGAGATAATTTATAATAATATTTATCATTAGGTAGGTACTCTGAAATCGCAACTAAATATGTATTATTTAATGCAGTTAGGCAAGTTACTCTGGTTTTATTTTTATTTGCTCATGTTTGAGGTTCCATATAACTGATTCATTGTGAGGATCAATCAATGAACAATGAATCAATATTTCACTCCATAATTATTAAATCGTAATGTGTTGGTATGCATATAAGTAACATTAAAAATATATTATATTGAATTATATATTTTTTCATAATATATGATATTTATTTATATATATACATGCGTATATATGTGTGTGTGTGTGTGTGTGTATGTATATGTATATATTTGTATTGTATATGTATATTTATGTAAGTGCACACTTTGAATACCTCTATTTCCTTCAACTATCCTACAATAGGCCTGCTGGAAGAAATTTCATCATGGAATAGGCAGTGCCTTTGTACATAATTATGTTTTTACCATTTTCCTATCGAATTATGTGTGTATATAAACTGTTAAATAAATAAATAAATATTTCCTCATTAGTCCATGTCGCCATGTTGAAACAATTTTATTAAGCCGACACTACAGTCTACTTCGACGCGTAACTATGAACTGAACACTCGGCCAACGTGTGAACACTGTTTGCGGCTTGCGCCAAATTCCTTTGATTTGTGCACGGAAAACCGACACTATACGGCTCGTCGGCGAGCGTTGGCCGCAAACGCCAAATATATACAAAACGGCCCAGTACACGTTGGCCGAGTGCACTCGGCGAGCGCGCTCGGCCAACGTGTACTGGAGCCATTACAAACGCAGTACCTATTATAGTAAAGTAACAGCTTACATATGAAATACTTTACGGTTGAGAACACGTCTCCTCTTATCAACCGACTTTAAAAAAAGGCGGAGGTTCTCAATTCGACTGTAGTTTTTTATGTGTGTTACCTCAGAACTATATCTAGGTGAACCGATTTTGATGAGTTTGGTGCTTCTCATGTGGTCCCATATAAATTTGATCAAGATCTGAGCAGTAGTTTTTGAGTTATCGAGTTATCCTTAATAATGCGTATT